CGGGTGACCGGTAACGTCTTGAAATTCTCCCTTAACCCTCCCCTCCCACTTAGTGTACAGTCTCCAGCCAGTGTTACCGTGTCTTGTAGATATGAATTCTCGGTTGATTCTTTTGTCATATCTATTATTTTTTGATGCAGTGATATGTATTCTCCTGGATAGTTGTATATTATAATATTCAATTGGTTATTGTATGATTTAGGAGGTATTGACTGGTAAATGTCTGGAGTTGAGCTACTAATATTTGAAGGCGGAACATCGGTTGACTTGCATAGTTGGAAACAGTGTCTCACCCGACCTGCCCCAGCCCTTGGCGCGCCACTAATCCCTTGATTTCAGACGGGCGGACGTGTGATGTTCGGCTCTTGATTTGAGTGGCATTTTGTGCTCTTAATGACTACTAGTATATATTATTATGCTGTTATACCTGTATTACTACCAATGTACATCCTTTATGACAGGTGGTAGGTGATTTTGATGTATGCTTAGTGAGGTGGGTACCTAGGGATCTTAAGCGAGTGCTATTGTGCTTTGATATGATATCTATTCCTCACCCACTACCTAATGTGTGACACCACCATCTTGTACTTGTTTAAAAAATGCTAGGGGCTAGTGTACCACAGCACCAGGATACAGCCTGGTGACAGATAGTTCAGAGGGTGTGCAGTTTAAGGCCTGTTGATGATTTCGAAAAGCTTTGATTAAGGATCGATTACTGTGATAGAGTATCAGTTGTAGAGAACTTTAGTTTCTTATTGTTTTACGGTGACCTGTTGTATACATCCAGTAAACTGGTGATTTTGTTTATAGCCTTTTCACTTGACCTTAAACAAATATTGAGACATTGGTCAGGCTATGTTTCCCAGTGATGCTGTGGAGCATGAGGTTATGACACCACCACCCAAACAACCCCAGTTGTGATGCACACCACTGACCAAACAGCCCCAGTTGTGATGCACACCACTGACCAAACAACCCCAGTTGTGATGCACACCACTGACCAAACAACCCCAGTTGTGATGCACACCACCGACCAAACAACCCCAGTTGTGATGCACACCACCGACCAAACAACCCCAGTTGTGATGCACACCACTGACCAAACAACCCCAGTTGTGATGCACACCACTGACCAAACAACCCCAGTTGTGATACACACCACCGACCAAACAACCCCAGTTGTGATACACACCACCGACCAAACAACCCCAGTTGTGATACACACCACCGACCAAACAACCCCAGTTGTGATGCACACCACCGACCAAACAACCCCAGTTGTGATACACACCACCGACCAAACAACCCCAGTTGTGATACACACCACCGACCAAACAACCCCAGTTGTGATACACACCACCGACCAAACAACCCCAGTTGTGATGCACACCACCGACCAAACAACCCCAGTTGTGATGCACACCACTGACCAAACAACCCCAGTTGTGATACACACCACCGACCAAACAACCCCAGTTGTGATACACACCACCGACCAAACAACCCCAGTTGTGATGCACACCACTGACCAAACAACCCCAGTTGTGATACACACCACCGACCAAACAACCCCAGTGTGATGCACACCACTGACCAAACAACCCCAGTTGTGATGCACACCACTGACCAAACAACCCCAGTTGTGATGCACACCACCGACCAAACAACCCCAATTATGATACACACCACCGACCAAACAACCCCAGTTGTGATGCACACCACTGACTTGAGATTGAATAAACTGTGTCACGAGCAAGCAACAGAACTCGCATGACTCCGGGTCGATGGTGTCACCGACCCGACAGGCAGCGTGCGGAGGCAAAACCGTGAGGATCACCCTGTGTCGAGGGGACCGAGCAACCCTCGACCTCGCACGAAGCGAGGGGGACTCCGGGGACACATCCAATGGACCCATGCGCCCCTAGGGGATTCCCAGGGTCCCGAGCGCTTAATGAAAACTCTCACCCAGCTTATCCCAGGCAGGGTTATCTTGAGACGATTTCGAGGTTATCTTGAGATGATTTCGGGGCTTTTTAGTGTCCCCGCGGCCCGGTCCTCGACCAGGCCTCCACCCCCAAGAAGCAGCCCGTGACAGCTGACTAACACCCAGGTACCTATTTTACTGCTAGGTAACAGGGGCATAGGGTGAAAGAAACTCTGCCCATTGTTTCTCGCCGGTGCCTGGGATCGAACCCAGGACCACAGGATCACAACTCCAGTGTGCTGTCCGCTCGGCCAACCGGCTCCCTGACGGGTACTGCTAACTGGAACCCAAACTACCAAACAACTGTCTGAAGCTGAACCCCAGGGAAATGTACACTCACGGGGACCTAGCAGGGGGCGCCACCAGAAGAGAACCGTGCACAGGTCAGGCATTAAACAAGGGGTAAGCAAGGCAGACTCCCCCTACAAGGCAAAAAGAAAAACAAAACCCCACAAGAGGACAACGTACCCCAAGGAACAGAGCCGGCCGCTGAAAGTGGTGAAAACAAGCTTCGCAGTACCCTGCACCCCACCAGTGCAAGCCGCCTCTTACCTTAAGGTAAACCAGGAAGACAAAACCCCTAGGCACCCAAAGGGCAGACGAAAACCGAGCAGTAATACGGCCTAGCAGAGGCAGACCCCGAGGAACTTGTGGAAGGGAACCTCAAGCTCCAAGGGCAGTACTTACAAGGCACCTAGGGAAGAGAACCCTAGGCGCATGCAGCCCGAGTACCGTAGAATAACTCCTGGCTCTCGCACCCCTGGAAGACGGCCACCACATGTACAGCACACTGCTGGAAAAACTGGAGCCGACCTCTGCTTCTAGCATCAGCTTGAGAACTGATGGGTGGATAGCCGGCGTGGGCGGTCTGGGGCTCCCCCTCCCGGGGAGGGGGAGGGGGTGGGGGAGCTGCGCAGACAGCGGTGCAGCAACGGGTAACGTTATGTTCGTTTGCTCGTTTCTTTTAGGGGAGTTCTATCCACTTGTTCGGCTTTTGGTAGCAATATTTTCACCAGAATAGGAGTTTGTTTTGGGATGCTTACCTTTCTGGGTGCCTGACCCGGTTGATGGCAGACATAGAATGCTTCCAACCACACGGGGGTTTCTACAGGCCATTGCTCCCCTTGCCTCTCTGAGGGGGCCAGGTTCTGGCTGGTGGTCCCCGGTAGGCCCACAGAACTCCATAAACATGACTGATGCCAAAGTCTGACATTAGCATATCAGCCTAGTAAGCTCCAGGAAGCCAAAGGGGCTCCCTCAAGAAAGGCTTTCGACAGAGTTCCACATAAGAGGTTGTTCTGGAAACTGTAACAGGTAAGCCTCTAACATGAATGCAAAATTTTCTTACCGATAGAAAAATGAGGGCAGCAATCAGAGGCATGTATCGGACTGGAGAAATGTCACAAGTGGAGTATCACAGGGTTCAGTTCTTGCACCGGTAATGTTCATTGTCTACATAAACAATCTACCAGATGGAATACAGAATTATATGAACATGTTTGCTGATGATGCTAAGATAATAGGGAAGATAAGAAACTTAGATGATTGTCATGCCCTTCAAGAAGACCTGGACAAAATAAGTACATGGAGCACCACTTGGCAAATGGAATTTAATGTTAATAAATGCCATGTAATGGAATATGGAATAGGAAAACATAGACCCACACAACCTATAAATTATGTGAGAAATCTTTAAAGAATTCTGAAAATGAATGAGATCTAGGGGTGGTTTTAGATAAAAAAAAAAACTTTCACCCGAGGACCACATTAAGTACATTGTGCGAGGAGCCGATGCCACACTTCTAACTTCGAATTGGTTTTAAATACACTGCTGGAGAAATACTGAAGAAATTGTTCACGATTTTTGTTAGACCAAAGCTGGAATATGCAGCGGTTGTGTGGTGCCCATATCTTAAGAAGCTCATCAACAAACTGGAAAAGGTGTAAAGACATGCCACTAAGTGGCTCCCAGAACTGAAGGACAAGAGCTACGAGGAGACGTTGGAGGCATTAATATGCAAAAACTAGAAGATAGAAGAAAAAAGAGGCGATATGATCACCAAGTACAAAATAGTAATAGGAATCTATAAAATTGATAGGGAAGAATTCCTGAGACCTGGAACTTCAAGAACAAGAGGTCATAGATTTAAACTAATGAAACAAAGCTGCCGGAGAAATGAGAAAATTCACTTTTGCAAACAAAGTGGTAGACGGTTGGAGCAAGTTAGGTAAGAAGGTGGTGAAGGCCAGAACCGTCAGTAATTTCAAAGAGTTATATGACAAGGAGTGTTGGGGAGACGGGACATGAGGGTAGCTCTCATCCTGTAACTACCTGCTTGATGGGGTTCTGGGAGTTCTTCTACTCCCCAAGCCCGGCCCGAGGCCAGGCTTGACTTGTGAGAGTTTGGTCCACTAGGCTGTTGCTTGGAGCGGCCCGCAGGCCCACACACCCACCACAGCCCCATTGGTCCGGCACTCCTTGGAGAAAACTATCTAGTTTTCTCTTGAAGATGTCCACGGTTGTTCCGGCAATATTTCTTATGCTCACTGGGAGGATGTTGAACAACCGTGGACCTCTGAAGTTTATACAGTGTTCTCTGATTGTGCCTATGGCACCCCTGCTCTTTACTATTTCTGTTCTGAATTTTCTTCCATGTCGTTCACTCCAGTATGTTGTTATTTTACTGTGTAGATTTGGGATTTTAACTACACTTAGGTAATTACACCACCGCCCAAACAATCCCAGTTGTGATGCGCAGTTGAAGGGTTAATTAACTAACACATGACATAATAATTGAAAGTCTTTAAAACAAAGCAATCAACTGGCAATACATAAAAAGCATATAACATTCACTGAAAAATATGTACAAAATATTGAAAAAGCAGGAGAGAATTTTAAGCTAGGCCAAAAATGCATTCCATCTCAAGTACAGTGCTCACAATTTTGCATTCAATACGTTTATTCATAGATTTTTTGTTTGACAAAAAATCAATAAAAAATACTACAATTGTTTACCTCTTGGTCATTATCAATCTTCCTCCAAGGAGATTTTCCCTTGGCAAGAATCTTGCGCAGTGAAGATGGCGTCATGCCTTTCTTTCCACGTGGGGTCGCTCCTTTTTTGCTAAGCATAGTAACATTATTGGGAGATCGAGAGGGAGCACCCGAACTCAAGCTCGGGGAGGGGACAGAGTGACTGGTGCGAGTACTACGGACTTGCCGCACCCTCGTGGATACTGGGGATGCACCAGAATATGCTCCTGGAGGACTTCCCTGTTAACATATTAAATTCTGGAATTAAATTATTATATTTAATGTTGCATAGTGACTCAACATGCAGTGCAGTACTTAATTTATTTTCATTTAGGGCAAGTTTTGCCAGCTATTTCAATCTTGAAGGCAGTGATATTTGAAAATATTCATGTGGGCCATCTACTTGAGAAAGCAATAAATTTAGTTCATAATTATTAATGACATACACTTATGAGCTCTTTGACTATTACCTTCCTCCCTCGATATCCCAAGCTTGACAACGATGCATTTGAGGCAATGGATTCACGCCGATTTTCTTTGTCACCTTTGGCCAAACTCTTGCGGCCAGGTGTGGGTGGACCAGGACGAGAGTATGAAGTCTGCAGGGACAAGAACCTTTACATACTGTACCACAGCCAACAACTGCACAGATAACTCATCCTTTATATAACATTAATTGTTTAGATTTGCTTCAAACATCATGAGGAACCAATAATAATTACTGCAATAGAAAACATGTATAAAGCCTATGTTATTTGAAACAGAGAAGAAACAGTATATATTTTTCCTTCATTTCATATATACTGATAGAAAAATATGAATAAATTTAATTAGTAGTGTAACCTTGATTTAACAGGATATGAGACTGGACCCATTACAGATTATCAAGAACTCTGTTTGGTGATGTTTGTCAGGTTAGTATATTCAGGTGTTTTTTGTTTTATTTTGTAAATGACAACACACCAAAGCCATTACCTTTTTTTTAAATATACTCTACAGCACAACAGATTTTTTTTTCAGTATTGTTTTGTTTGTATAAGATGAGCATTATCCTTGCTTCCTACCATAGGCAGGGTGCAAGTAAACAGTACAGCAATACTGTATGCTCTACAGAACAAATACTCACAATTGTGCACTGTAACACTCACTAAAATTAAACTTTCTACCTCATCACAAACTCATCGTCGCCCCCCAACCTCTTACTGTCTCTGCTCCCCCACGCTCTCCTCATATCTGTACACCCCCCCACCTTCCAAAGCTCTCCCCACCTCAACCCTCCACCCATCCTTTTCCATGAGGGAGGGGTTTCCAAGAATTATTTAAAAATTCTTAGAACTAAGCAAATAAAGTAGAAAATACACATTCAATGACTTTGAATAAATACTGTAAATTCAAATATTGAATATAGCCATTTGTACTCACATTCATGTATTCGTGGTATGAGTAAGCAACTCCACACCTTCCTCCTCTCACCAACTCCACACCTTCCTCCTCTCACCAACTCCATACCTTCCTCCTCTCACCAACTCCACACCTTCCTCCTCTCACCAACTCCACACCTTCCTCCTCTCACCAACTCCACACCTTCCTCCTCTCACCAACTCCACACCTTCCTCCTCTCACCAACTCCACACCTTCCTCCTCTCACAAACTCCACACCTTCCTCCTCTCACCAACTCCACACCTTCCTCCTCTCACCAACTCCACACCTTCCTCCTCTCACCAACTCCACACCTTCCTCCTCTCACCAACTCCACACCTTCCTCCTCTCACCAACTCCACACCTTCTTCCTCTCACCAACTCCACACCTTCCTCCTCTCACCAACTCCACACCTTCCTCCTCTCACCAACTCCACACCTTCCTCCTCTCACCAACTCCACACCTTCCTCCTCTCACCAACTCCACACCTTCCTCCTCTCACCAACTCCACACCTTCCTCCTCTCACCAACTCCATACCTTCCTCCTCTCACCAACTCCACACCTTCCTCCTCTCACCAACTCCACACCTTCCTCCTCTCACCAACTCCACACCTTCCTCCTCTCACCAACTCCACACCTTCCTCCTCTCACCAACTCCATACCTTCCTCCTCTCACCAACTCCACACCTTCCTCCTCTCACCAACTCCACACCTTCCTCCTCTCACCAACTCCACACCTTCCTCCTCTCACCAACTCCATACCTTCCTCCTCTCACCAACTCCACACCTTCCTCCTCTCACCAACTCCATACCTTCCTCCTCTCACCAACTCCATACCTTCCTCCTCTCACCAACTCCATACCTTCCTCCTCTCACCAACTCCATACCTTCCTCCTCTCACCAACTCCATACCTTCCTCCTCTCACCAACTCCATACCTTCCTCCTCTCACCAACTCCACACCTTCCTCCTCTCACCAACTCCACACCTTCCTCCTCTCACCAACTCCACACCTTCCTCCTCTCACCAACTCCACACCTTCCTCCTCTCACCAACTCCACACCTTCCTCCTCTCCCCAACTCCATACCTTCCTCCTCTCACCAACTCCATACCTTCCTCCTCTCACCAACTCCACACCTGCCTTCCTCACCTTCCATATATATCTCCTCCATACCTGGAGGAGATGTATGTGGGAGAAGTATTTATTGTGGCATTGCTTACAAATGCCAGGAAATTGCAGTGATGAGGATGGCAAACTTTAGTTAATAAGACAAGATCTCCCAAATGAAGTCAGAGAAAAGCTGAAAACAAACCTCTAAGAAGTGAAACGTCTAAATGTGAATAGAAATGAAGAAAGAAATTACTTTTTTCTACAAAGTGATAGGGACTGGAAAGCTAGTGAAATAGTACATAAAAACAAACCAACAAAATCATTAGAGGCAGGGGGAGTAAAGAACAAAGGGAAAGAGAACATGTTTCTGAAAATTGTATATACCAACGTAGATAGAATGAGATAAAAAAAACTGGAGCTAAATGATATAATTTAGCTTAGGGTCCCAGACATTGTCGCACTAAGAGACGAAGTTTGAAGAAAATATTTGACACGAGGTTGTATTCCCGAGGAGTTTGGAGACGCGGTAGCCAAACTAGGAAGGGGGGAGGACTGGGGAAGAATGGCTGTGCTGGTGAAAGAACACCTGAAGGTAAGAGTGTTACTAACCAAAAATGCTCAAGAAGTTGATATAATGGCATTGCAGGTTTGGAATCAGGATGATAAAATGATAATCATAAATGCCTACAGACCACCAGCAAGCAACACACGGACAAAGGAGGAACTAGATGTCAAACAAGAGGGCCTCAAATTGGTCACAAAGAGAGAATATAGTAAAGGCAGATAAAGATAAATCACAATTGTTGGTACTGGGGAATTCAACTTGAAAGCAATAGACTGGGAGGCCTATGAAGCATGAATGGAGGACATTTGGACAGTCAGATTTGTAAACCTCATTCTGGAGACATGTATCAACAAGTCAAGTAGACCACAAGAATGAGGGAAGGGGATGTTCCGTCAATACTGGATCACATATTCACAAGGAAAGAAGATATATTTGACATCTATTACCTCACTCCCCTGGGATAGCGTGATCACGTCCTGTTATAATCTCCCAGATTATAGGGCTTTGTGATATAAACTGGAAGAAAATGGGGACATTGAAACAGTTGATAAACTCGATTTCAAGAGAGGACACTATGGGGAACTCGGAAAATTATTTAATGAGTTTAATTGGATAGACATGTTGCTAGGCAAGGAAGTAAATGAGAGGTATGATAAATTTTGCGAAATGTACGATGAAGGCACACACATTCGCACCAAAACAGAGATGCAGGACCAGAAAACAGGATTGGTTCGCCAGAAATTGTGAGAGGGCCAGAGAGGAAAAGACAAGAAAATGGGCTCAATATAGAAAGAGGCCTAATCCGCACACATACCAGCACTACAAGAAAACAAGAAACAATTACACAGCAGTGAAAAGAGAGGCAAGGAGGGAGGAGAGGAGAAAGGTATAGCAAATGTAAAACAGATCTAGGCCTATTTTATAAATTCATTAAAAGCAAGCTGCACGTAAAGGATAAAATCCAGCGATTGAAAATGGGGAACAGGACTACTGAGAATTAACACTGCAAAGACGATTGTAGTAAAATAAGTTGAGCATTTTATCTCCACTCCACCTCCTTCAGGCACTGATTCCTGAAGTTGCTCAACAGATGTTCCTAGGTGGAGTGAAGCTGGTGCGGGTGGTTATTTCTTGTCCACCCAATACACCCTTTTCCTGTGATAAGTGGTGTAACAAGGTATGACGCAAAGTGGAACATCGCATGTCTTGCACGCTATACCAGTTTCCTTCCTGATACCCAACTTTGCACACACTTCACACCTGCGACGTTTGGGGATTTTTACCAGCTCATGTTTCAATTTATAGTTCAGGCGAGTCTCTGCTATAACAACACGTCGCTGTTGTCTCTGGGTTGGCAATAAACTACTGTCTGAATCGTCGCTCTCACTATTGTTTTCAAACACTAATGTGGAATATGAATTATCTTCATCAGATTCAGCTTCAGCACTAGGTGTAGACGTGAAGAGAGGGCGCCTCACACCCGACGGGCCAGGTGTTGACGGTTCAGCAGCAGGATACACAGGACCAGTGTCATCATTTATGTCTGGAGCATGAACTAGATGTGGAGATGGTGTAGTTGTTGCAGGCCACTCTGCCTTGTCAAATTTCAATAAAGACCAAATAGCAACTTCATGGAACTGGAGCAGAGTTAGTTTCCTTCGATCATCTGTGTTGGCCTTGTACAATGCATAAGCGTTTTGCAATGCCATTTGCAAGAAATAAAATGTTATTTTCTTGGTCCACTTGTGACATTTCCTGGCGAAATGGTAATACTTTACCATTTGATCAAAGTGGTCAACACCCTTCATGAACTTATTGTAGTCAACAATTGCCTGTGGTTTGTTCACCACAACCTGCTGTAGTCTTACTGTTCCATCTGCCCTGCGAACTCGTTTTCTTTTCTGAACTTTCTTTGTGTCTGCATTGTGTAGGTTGGTAATCATAGAGACAACTCGCTTGTCTTTCCACAGCAGAATGAAGGTGTTGTCCTTGCGGCAGTAGACTGTGGTATCCACATCAATCTTACTCTTCGCAAGTTGTTGCAAGTCTTTTGGGGCGCCACGTAAGAGTCTAATTGTTCCACAGGTGTTCACCCCCACTTCTCGCAACTTCTCTGTAAGGGTAACTGAGTTGTAATAGTTATCCATATAGAGGTGGTGCCCCTTGTTCAACAATGGTCGCATCAAACTAGTAACTGTTTCAATGATTGTTCTACCAATGCCAGAGTAAACCTCAAATGAATAAATGTAGCCAGATGTTGATTCGGCTAGCATATAAAATTTGACGCCATATTTGTCTGGTTTGCTTGGATTGTACACTTTGAATGACAGCCGGCCTCGCCATGCCATTGTGCCTTCATCCAAACACAACTCTCTCATTGGGTAATAAACTTCTTGAAAACGGTGTCTTAGGTAGTCCATCATTGGTCTCACTTTGATCAATTTATCTGTATTGTCCACTGGCACCGCATTGCTGTTGAACGCACGAAAAAACTGACCTATGTGCTGAAGCCTTCTGCTCGTCATAAACATGTTGAAGAATCTTGTATGCCATGGTTTATTTGTCTGCCAATACATGCACATAGTGGGGTTTTTTGTTACTCCCATCAACATACACAGTCCTAAGAATCTGGCCATTTCTTTCAACTTCACCGGTTTCCAAATATCATCAACATTTTCATTAGCCAGGTTGAATAATTGTAAAGCGTACAGATTGGTTTCATATGCCAAGTAATGAATCAACTCACGAGTAATAAACAACTGAATATATGCAAGTGCACTAGTTGGTTTTGTAATCTTTAGGCCTGGGCTTCCAGTAAAATCATCGAACACTGGTGGAATATTGTCCTCAAGCCACCCACCACTGGCCCCAGGCTTGCGAGTACGTACCGGACACGTACGTTTGCGAGGAGGCTGGGCTGCCTCATCTTCGTCACTAGGTTCATCCTCACCTGATATATCAAAGCTAGAATCACTACCACTATCAACAAATGGGGTTATTTTCAATTACACTTAACACACACTGTTAAGAAGAAATGTGTGAAATCCAAAATGAACAATTCAAAAGTGTGTTTGTACAAAATGAGGATTTCAGAGAGCCAGACCCAATATCAATTCCAGAACAAGCCATAGAATACATAGAGGTATCTCAAGATGAAGTGGACAAATTACTCAAGGGGCTAGGAAGAAAATGCAGTTGGACCTGATGGAGTTTCACCTTGGGTGCTGCCAGAATGTGCAACTGAGCTGAGCAAATCCACTTCAATTAATATTCCAGACAGCCTTGTGCACAGGAATCTTGGCAGATATATGTAAAAAGGCAAACATAGTACCAATCTATAAAACTAGTAGTCGAGTGGAACCTCTAAATTATAGACCCGTATCACTAACAAGCATGGTAGTCAAAACATTAGGAAGTGGTTTTGAACCCAAATGGGTTGAACATCTAGAGAGTAATGACACAGTAATGGACAAACAGTAGGGTTTTCAAACAGGAAGATCCTGTGTAACAAATCAACTCAGTTTTTATGATAGAGCCACAGAGATACTACAGGAAAGAGGTGGTTGGGTTGACTGTGTATCTGGATAAAGAAAAAGGCTCTTCCCACCAAACACAAACCGAAACTGTCTCTATTTTCCGCTTGTTACAACTTGTAATAAAGTTGTTACATCTTGGCTTAACGTGTTTATGACGTATTAGAACGTTGTTACAACTTGTTATATTGGTTGTTATAACTGGTTAGGTGGTGTTAAAACTTGTTCGAACGTTGTACCAACGTCGTAGTTTCGGTGTGTGTTTGGCGGGCTGACAGTCCTACAAAAGATTCTGTTCTGGAAACTGGAACATGCTTGAGGGGGTGACAGGGAGACTTCTGATATGGATGAAAATTTTTCTAACTGACAGACAGATGAGAGCTGTAATCACTGGCAATATATCTGACTGGAAGAGTGTTACTAGCGGAGTACCACAGGATTCAGTTCTTGCACCAGTAATGTTAATCGTCTACATAAACGATCTACCAGAAGGAACACAGAATTATATGAACATGTTTGCAGATGATGCATAGACACTGGGGAAAGATAGGAGAATGCAGACGATTGTAATGCCTTTCAAATTGATGTAGATAAAATAAGTGCTCTGGAGCGTCAAGTGGCAAATGGAATTCAACGTGAATAAATGCCATGTTATGGAAGTAGAATTGGAGGAAATAGACCACACACAACTTACACGTTGTGTGGAAATGAATTATAGAACTCTAATAAAGAACGAGACTTAGGAGTGGTTTTGGACATCAAGTTGTCGCCAGAGGAACACTAAAAAACACAGAGGAGCATATGCATCACTTTCCACTTCAGACTGACTTTTAATTATATGGATGGTGATATACTAAAGTCATGAAACTGTTCATGACTTTTGTGAGACCAAAACTGAAATATGCAGCAGTTTTATGGTGCCCAAATCTAAAGAAGCGCACAAGGAAGCTGGAAAAGGTGCAACGTTATACTACAAAATGACTTCTGGAACTGAGAAACATTTGTTACGAGAGACTGAAGCCATTAACCATGCAAAACCTAGAAGACAGAAGAGATGATATGATCACCACTTACAAAATACTAATAGGAATCGACCAAATTGACAAAGGAATTCCTGAAACCAGCAACTTCACGAACAAGAGGACACAGATTCAAGCTCAGGAAATAAAGGTGCCAAAAAATATTAGAAAGTATTCTTTTGCAAACAGAGTATTAGATGGTTGGAACAGTTAAGCGAGAAGGTGGTGGAAGCCAAAACCATCGGTTTCAAAGCGTTATATGACGAAGAGTACTTGGAAGAGGACGAATGTAGCTCTCATCCTGTAACTTCCCTTTGGTAATTACTGTACCTATAAGATGAATACGATCTAGTCCTGATTTAATCGTGTGTGACTGTGGGTCATGGGGGACATGCAAGAGCCGTCACACTCAACTTTTTCACCTTTCCAGTGTCATCACCCAAAAAAATTTCCTCACACCCACTACTGGCATCTGTGACTCTACTGATACCCACACCCCCTCCACTCCTGCCTGACACCCACACCCCCCACTCCTGCCCGACGTGAAGGCCAAAGGTGGCCAAGGAAGAAGGTGGAGGCCAAAACCATCAGTAGTTTCAAAGCATTATATGACAATGCTGGGAAGACAAGACACTGCAAGTGTAGCTCTCATCCTCTAACTACACTTATGTAATTACACAGAGCTATTCACAAGGATCACCTAGAAACACTCACTCTTCACACTAAGGTAGTAAACAAAATAGTGATTATGCAAAGCTTACTGATAATCTTTTAGTTCTTTTCCCTCCTGAAAATTCAATAGAGGACTCCGACTGTGTGGATTCTGAGAGAGACTTCCGCTTGCGAAGGTTGAAGGCCGGCGAGTCCAGACCTAGATTTTCCGTTGCCTCAGTTAGGTTCATCAGCTGCCTGTCTTCTACTGCACACCCTTCCTGAAGAATGGGAGAATAATCTTTAGTAATGTTTATTAGTTACCATGTTTTTCAGTTAAGTTCCCTATCTTCACTTGTTGTGACTAGACCTTAAGGAGAATTTCTTCTTTCCATACTGTGTATAATTCAATACAATAATTGATGAAAATGAGGAAAATCAAAATGTCAAGAATCAGAGCACCACCACCTACAGGTACAGTATAACCAAAACTCCAGCTGGGTCATTACTGTAATTGTGTTTAAAAATACTAACAAATCAAATCAGGTTTAATAAGAAATCATTCAGTATGAATAACAGTAGTGCAATATGAAATATGAAATCAGCCAATTTATTTCATAGCGGAAAGAACATCACCACAAAAGCTGAAATTTGGAAAAACTGCAGTGCCAAATGACTGGAATTGCCGTGATTATACCAATTTATACAAGGTGAAACATACTGAGCATAAATTATAGAGGTATTAGTCTACTAACTACAGTGGGCAAAGCACATAGCAGTGTGACTATGTCAACACCATCTGTTGAGCACACTCATCCTAATTTTTCGCTCCCCAGTGGAAGGCTGTCATCTTACTGACACCTGTGTAGTTTCCTTCTTACTATAAAACTTGTACTCCTCAGAAGTGATGTAGAGGGTACCTTGGTTGACAAGAGTTAGTACACCCAAGGCAGTCCTGAACTCAAGATTTGTTCCAGTGGGAACAAGTGGGCCGAGTCGGTGGAGACTGAATTAGCTGTGATAACCAGTGATTGCATTGTATTGTATTGTATAAAGTATTGGAGATTGGACGGACATATCCAGAGATTTTCCCTTTTGAGTTATGAAATATTTGAATTTGAGTGATGAATTTATGTCTGTCCTCTATGTTAGGGCTTGTTATAGTTGAAGCCTTTAAGAAGATTCCAGCCAGTTTGTTGCTGGAGAGAAGTGATGTTTTGACACTGGGTCACTGTGACCCAACTGTGGAGGACTAGATTATGATTTACTGAGAAAGGTGGACTCATTGGAATGAGTACCATAAAAGAAACGCTCAGGGAAGATACCTTGAGTGTTGTATGCGTCACGGTAATCTCTCTTAAAGGTAGATTTGGCTTGCTCCATCATCATCTATTCTATTACACCACGCCTACATATTTAATCTTTAATACAGCCGGGTCGTAAATACACGATGGGTTTGCTTAAACGGGTTCCGTAGCCGCGTCGTAAATAGCCGCGCGATGTAAAAAAAAAACATATAAAATCCAATTCTAATTCGATTGACTTGGGGTTAGTATGAAAATGTTTGCCATTAAATTTCCGTTTTCTCTAATAGGCACATGGCCTATTTGGGAGAACGGCATTGTATTGTAACTTAGTGGAGAGACTATTGAGTTGTTGACACAACGAGGGTAATCGCCCACTTCACACACTCTTGGTGTGGGCCGCGATCATGATTCTACAATTATATGCATATGTCTGTGTAGGGAATTTTATTGCGAGTTCAGTGATATAAAATTTAACGCTGTAGGACTAATGTGGAGCTGACAACAAACAAAAGAGTATGAACATTTTGTTGCTGTTTGGGCGTCACGGCGAGTGATCTACGTTTTTATTTATTTCGTGGTGGGACAGCTAATGCTTTGGTGACATTTTATACATATGATCTTGGAGAATTTTATTGCCAGCACATTGATACCAAAATGAAATACGTAGCTCGAGAATTGGTGTTAGGAGAGTGCAAAAGATTACACACTTTTTGGTGTTTACGCTCAGGAGCCCAAAACGCCGCGCGCACAATGCGCTATTTTTTTTTCACAAGTGCCGGGCGCATTAAAGTGTTAAGTACTCAAGAAGTTACAACAGCAACAATGACAACAACTACTTCACAGACGTTTAGACAGTGTACCACCAATCTACCTCCCACGGGCCCATCAAACCCTCTCACCTGGCGTTCAAGTGAGCCGGCTTGCAGTTATCTATGTCACCAGCGCCACCTGGACGGCCGTTTCGCCTATAAATAGAGGATACATGGCCTTACCCCTTCAGAATACTCTCTCATGCTCTACTGCATAGATCTGTTGGCATATCCCGGTGTGGTAGCAGGTTTATGCAGACTAGCTCACAGTATTTCCGCACCATTTTATAATTTGCACATTGACGTAACGTAAATTTGATTGTTCATATTGTTTGTTTTGCACACGTTGAATAGAGCCAAGCCTAGATATTATTTTTGTTTTGTAAATTGTTTAAAGTAAATTTTCATAAGTATTTTAAATTTGGTTCTCTCTATGCTTTATGCTTTATCCTACAGTTACCTCAGTGAGGAATTAAAATAGCAGTAACTTTTTTTTTTTTTTGCTTTATATAACAGGCATTCCATCTGCCTTAGAGACTGCGATACCGACCGGAAGCCGGTCGGCCGAACGGACAGCACACTGGACTTGTGATTCTGTGGTCCCGGGTTCGATCCCGGGCACCGGCGAGAAACAATGGGCAGAGTTTCTTTCACCCTATGCCCCTGTTACCTAGCAGTAAAATAGGTACCTGGGTGTTAGTCAGCTATCACGGGGTGCTTCTTGGGGGTGGAGGCCTGGTCGAGGACCGGGCCGCGGGGACACTAAAGCCCCGAAATCATCTCAAGATAACCATCCATTTTTCCCGTCACAGATGATACAAGTTAGTAGTAGTTTAGCCAGGACACAAGATCGCACAAGTTCTTTTGTAGCGTCTTGTGTGAAAGTGACACTTGCAATGTTATGTTATGTACATAGTAAAGAAGTACACGTGGTGATGGTTTTGTGTGGTGTTGTTTACCCCCATTTCTATTAGACTATTAGTGCCAGTTCTTAATAACTAACCAATGACTGGGTTGGATTTAGCAAGAAGACACACTAACACCCCATAGAAAGTTTGAGTTAAAAGAACCCAGTTACTGACCAAATGAAGCCGTAACAAGCAGAATGGTGGTCGGAAGAGTAAATACTTGGGAAAATGATATAAAGATGAGTTCTGTATATTTTGTGGTTATGTGACTAAGAAATTTGCATTGTAACAGATTGTGGCACATCAAACCAAGATAATATACCTAAGAATAAAAATGAGAAAATTGAATATAATGAAATGCCAATTTCTGGGTGAGACCAGGTGGCTGGCTCCCTGAAGCTGCTATCTCCGTTCCAACTACTGCGCGTCATCAGACATGGAGTTTTCTGGCATAGTGGGGACCCAGAGCCAGAACCTGGTACCCTCACAGAAGCAAAGGGAGCTGTGGTATTTATACACAGTATTAATTAACACTTGCAAACCGATGACAAAATATGGAGTCAAAATTTTATTTTTTAATAGCCACCGATGACAAAGTATGGAGTCAAAAATAAAAAAATATTGGCCTGCTTTCGCCGCAGTTTTGGACATTATATGCATATACCTCTTGAAGGGAATTTCATTGCGAATCCAATGATACCAAAATGAAAGGCCTAGGGCCAGAATTGAGGTAACAAAGTTGAAAAGAGCAAAACCGATTTTATTCCTCTTTATTAGCACTCACTGAGGTAACGATCAGTTATTTTCTGTCTGCTGCGGATGGTATGCCGAGCTTTTGGACTTCACATGCATTTAATCGTGTTGGGAATTCTACTGCGAACACAATGATAACAAGATGAAAGACCTAGGACGAGAATCGAGATGTTCAATGTGAAGAGAGTGTACACATTTTATTGCTCTTTAGCACTCCCGGGTAACTTGCTCTCACTTTCTCGCCATCCTTTTGGGGTTTATATGCATATACACCTGTAGGAAATTTCATTGCGAATTCACTGATATCAAAATGAAAGACCTAGGACCAGAATTGAGGTAACAAAGTTGAAAAGAGAAAACACATTTCATTGCTCTTTATTAGCGCTCACTGGGGTAACGCGCTGTCACTTTCTCTGTTTGCTGTGGGTGGTACGCCGGGCTTTTGGACTTTATATATGCATATACTCCTGTAAAGAATCTATTGCGATCACAATGATATAAAAATGAAAGACCAATGACGAGAATTGAAGTGACCAAAGTGAAGAGAGTATACACATTTCATTGCTCTTTAGCGCTCCTGGGTAACTTGCTCTCAATTTCTCTGTTTTGTACGGGGTGATACGCCGGGTTTCCGGACTTCATATGCGTTTAATCGTGTGGAGAATTCTATTGCGAACACATTGATATCAAATTGGAAAACCTAGGATGAGAATTGAGATGACAAAGTTGAAAAGAGTATACACTTTTCAGTATTACCGCGCTCTCTAATGGACGGCCCGGCCCTCCACCCTGCTTTCATCATGTCGGCGGGTGGAGCGCGCCACGGTTTTTGACATTATATGCATACACTTTTGTTGGGAATTTTATTGCGAACACATTTATACCAAAATGAAAGACCTAGGACGAAAATTGAGGTGACCAAAGTGAAAAGAATGTACACATTTTATCGCTCTTGCGTGCTCTTGGGTAACTTTCAATTTCCGTTTGCTGCGGGGAATAAGCTGAGCTTCCAGACTTTATATGCATTTAATCGTGTAGAGAATTCTATTGTGAATACATTGATATCAAATTGGAAAACCTAGGACGAGAATTAAGGTGACAAAGTTGAAAAAGTATACACTTTTCAGTATTACCGCGCGCTCCTGCGGAACGTCCAAAACCACTAGGGTAGGATAAATGCTCGCTCGCCCAAAGCGCTAAAGTGTTAAGTTATTCATTTTTGCTACCACCAAGGAAGGCATCCAGAAAGTCAGTAAGTCAGAACAAACCACATACGGCTGCCTGCAAGACTTGCAGGCATGAAAACGGCCATAGAACTCCCCAAACTGTGTAAACAAATGATCGAAAGTGTTATAGGCAAGTGCCCACTTGTTTGCTCTGCTCCTCCCCTTGTTTGGGGGAAGAAGGGGGGGGGGGGGCAGGGCATGGATCACAGGCTGCTCCAACATTAATTTGACAAAAAAAAAAAAAAAATGATGGCAGAACTCAACTCCCTGGGTAAGGG